TGTTCACGATTTATGGTCTAGTTATATTTTTAAAATAGAGTCTGCAATGGGTCCTAAGAGCTATTAAATACATTTTGGGGTAATTGGCTTATTAAAGTCTATACAGACAAAACCAAATTTATGGTTTTGCACAAGGAAGGGGGAAGAATAACAGATGATACTTTATTCTTCATAGATGTTTAGAGTTAGAGGTTGTTGAGAAAGTTGTATTTCTTGGTATTGATTTTACAGCAAGGAATTCTTTCACACTTGCTAAACAGGCATTGTTTACAATTAATAAATATTTCTCCAAAGTTTTTAAACGTGCCCCTAAAGGTAAATGTGAGATTTTGGACACCTAATATCACCAACGCTAAGACGTGTTTCGTAGGTATGGGGATTTATTGAAGGTAATACGTTGCACATCACGTTTTGCGAAAATCTTCTTGGGGTTGCAAAATCTTCCCAAAATGATTTATATTTCTTATAACATCAAAAGTAGTGGAGTGTTTTCCTTTTTCCAGCTCTAATTTTCTCATTATAAGTTGAAATTCCCTTTCACCCTTCTCTATTTGTAATAATTGCATCTGCCTGTCTCTCTTCTCTTTTCAAATTTTAATTCTCTCTCTCTCTCTCTCTCTCTCTCTCTCTCTCTCTCTCTCTCTCTCTCTCTCTCTCTCTCTCTCTCTCTCTCTCTCTCTCTCTCTCTCTCTCTCTCAAATTGTAACCGCAATTGCTTATCTTGCAACTGCTTTGTCTCCCTTTTTATTCTCTCTGAAGCTCAAGCCCCTTTAACTCTACTTCCATTTTGAATTTCATTTTTATTTCCATCGCTTTAACATCAGCGTCTGGCATAGACTTGCTAACTAATGCCAAAATACTTTTATCAAAAACACTTTTCCCCACCAAGTATTGGATCAAAATATGTTTAATTTCTCGTTTCGTTAAGGAAGATTTTGCTTTAGAAAGATCGTACTTTCTGGCAAGTTCAAGCAAATCATATTTTGCAAGACTATTCAATTGCTGTTCAGTTGGATTAGAAAAAAAGGTTTCCACTTTTGATTACATTGAAAATGAAAGCCTGTTGTTTTCACTTAATAATTCAAATAAAAATGTAAAATCGTACTAAGGATTTAGAAATTAGGGGAATTTAAATTTCAAAAAGAAATTACTAAAATATTTAACCAAAATTTATAAATCCTGGACGAGCCCCCATTTTCTTTGTTAGGTAACAAGGGCTCGTATTCAGTAACAAAGAAAAACAAACAGTGATCACGTGAAGAAAGTATGTCAGTGATGCTGACCAATTATTTTAACTTCCTGTTGATTTTGTTACGAAGGTAAGACGAACTCAGTGTCAGTTCTCACGCATTACTATTTCATCTTAAATAAACAATTTTGTGATAAAAATATATCTCACTAAAAACAGACTCCCGAATCCAAGAAAAAGTATTAATTGCAATTAAATACAATGAAACAAAAATGAAATAAAAATAATTTTAAACCTTACACACAAGCAGTTTAATCACATATACGTAACAGTTTGTATGTATGTATGTATGTATGTATGTATGTATGTATGTATGTATGTATGTATGTATGTATGTATGTATGTATGTATGCAGGTTTAATAGATTTTTTGGGAAGAAGTCACACTGTTGTTTTTTTTCACATCTGAAAAAAGTACATTTATATTTTTGGTCAAGAAATATCTGTTTCTTGTGCAAAAATGACAATTAAGGTTTCGGAAAGACGACAACAACAAAATAAATAAATAAATAACGTTTTTCCTGATATAGTGTTACGAGATGATCAAAAATTATTTTCACGTGACATATTGGAATGGGAAAATGTCTTAAAGTATTGGACATGCTAGTAGGATTTTGAAATACTCCTCCTAATTTAAGACTTAAATCGATGAGGCATTTATTTAGGAAATTTCCTACAACTTGGACTTCAAACCAGCCATTTCCAAACTAAGGTAGAACTCAAGTTCATGATGGTTTAGAAGATCAGAATTATTGGTCATGGGAAAGTATCGCCTATATTGTAAAATCAAGCAAAGCTAATTTTAGTAAGGCTTTTGTCACTATTAAATCCAATTGGTTTGTTAACTGGAAAGGATCTAATTTAATAGGACGCCATTTAAAATTTATTGTCTCTATAAGTTGATACAAATTATGCTATAAATCTATCCTAATACAAATTTGTTTATTTGCTTATATCAAACACTAAATTTAGTCCTTTCTCATACTGCACTGTTTTAACCATCTTATTATGAGATTTGATGTTGCTTATTTACATGTTACCATTTTTAAATGTAATCTGCTACCTACACAAGTCCTGGTGAACCGCTAGAAGGTCATTTCGACCCTGATTTAGAACGCGGCATGGGCATTAGGAACCAATGATCTATAGTAATACCATAATTTACAATTTATTTAGACAGATCCGGTGTCCAAATGGTTAGAGTGTCCGCCTGAGATGCGGAAGGTCGCAGGTTCCAATCCCGGTCGAGTCATACTTGTAAAAATTGTATTAACAGCTGCCTTGCTAGTCGCTCAACAGTAAGAGGTTATTGTTACGACCGATCGGCCTGGTGTCAGGATAATGTCACTGGGTGGAACATGATGCTTTGTCTGTGGCATAATGCCTCAGTGCTAGCTATCATTATAAGCTGTCACACTCCAGACATCGTAGCGATATGACAGTCGTAGTGTTTTTTTGTTTTGAAAGAAACAAAGAAGAAGAAAAGACATTTACTTGTGTACATGCTGCTTTGAATGACGAGAGCTTTAGAATTCCTTTTAAAACACCGTGTATAACTACTTTCACGGTTACAAAAATGATGAGGAATGAAAAGTTGTTAATTTTAATGAAACAAATTCTTGTTGGAATTTTTGCAACAGAAAAATATGTTACTTTTTTAAATCATTGTAAACATTGTAACATGCAGCAACAAAACACGTTTTTTTTTGTTGTATTGAATTGTGCAGGTTACCTCTTCATTGTTAGTTTGAATTGTGATGGTAAGTTTCTTTTTCTGAGGGCACGTCAATAGTACAATGCCTGTCCATTTGTATATAACCGACTGATACAGCCGAGAGTTACCTATTTTAGTTTGCAACCCTTGTTGTAAACGAGTTTTTTTTTACATTCTAGTTATTGACGTTGTTTGCATCCTAGTTATTGACGTTCTTTGCATCCTAGTTATTGACGTTGTTTGCATCCTTGCTATTGATGTCCTTTGCACTTGCTTCCTTCATATTTACTTCGTAACCTATATTGACGTTCCTTCATTGTAACAATTATATATTTCCTGTTTATTGACGAACCCTTCGTTGTAACAATTATATATTTCCTCTTTATTGATGTTCATTTCGTTGTAACAATTACAGAATTCCTCTTTATTGATGTAACCTTCGTTGTAAAATGATAGATATCTAGTTTATTGACATAAACTTTATTGTAATAATTAAAGATTTCATGTTTATTGACGTAACGTTCGTTGTAACAATTATAGATTTTCTGTTTACTGACGTAACGTTCGTTTTAACGAGTATAGATTTCCTGTTTATTGACGTAACGTTCATTGTAACAAGTATAGATTTCATGTTTATTGACGTAACGTTCGTTGTAACAATTATAGATTTCCTGTTTATTGATGTAACATTCGTTGTAAAAAGTATAAATTTCTTGTTTATTGACGTAATGATCGTTGTAACAAGTATATATTTCCTGTTTATTGACGTAACATTCCTTGTAACAAGTATAAATTTCCTGTTTCTTGACGTTGTTGTTGTTGTTGTTGTTGGGCTTAACGCCATTTTTCAGCACACGATAGGCTATTCATAGCGGCCAGTATTAATGGTGGAGGAAGAAACCGGGAAATCACCGGAAACAACCACCGACCCACGAGAAGCTACTGACAAGCTTTCTCACAGATCCACATTTGCCGAATCTTAGACTGGAACTCACGCAGACAGAGGTGAGATGGCAATGATCCGTAACAAACAGCGCTTTAGACCACTTGGCCACTCGGGGCCCCATTTCTTGACGTAACGCTCGTTGTAACAAGTATACATTTCATGTTTGTTGACGTACATTCGTTGTAACAAGTATATATTTCCTGTTTATTGAAGTATCGTTCGTTGTGACAAGTATAGATTTCCTGTTTATTGATGTACCCAATGTAACACGTATGTTTGGACTAAGTTTCTCTAATTTGCTTTCCCTTTGTTTTCTTCCTCTAATTAAGTGTGTCATTTCTAGTTCTTTAATATCTTCACGTTCTGTGTTATAAACTTTCGTCCTGGTTGCATTTTTTTTATCTACTTGTATATCCTGTACTATGTAAGCATCAAATTAAATTTCTCCTAACTCATAGTATCATCGCTTTTTGCCTAAATCACTATATCATCCATACTCTTCAACATGTTTATGGCAAATGTTACTATCTCGCCGTATTTTAACCAAAATTTTGTATGTTAGCTTTCCACTTAAGTGTCATCCACAAACCTCATTAAAGTTGCACGAGACTCGTTAAAAGAAAAGGGGTTTATAAATCCTGTTTCTATATCTGCAGCTCTTAAACCGACGACTGCAAGGCCCGTATCATCTGAAGATATAGCCATGCTAAAGTCTTTTCTTAAAAACACGTATAGTTTTGCATTTGTTTCTTTCATCGTCTTAATTTTATATTTATTTGATCCAGTCACGTTTATTTTCAAATATCTTTTAAGTGCCTGAAATAAATGCGATTTTCACGGTGATGGGTGGACGTAATTAAAACCAGTGTGGGATACAAAGGTGTGGGAGGTTGTATTATCTCACCTCTATATCTATGAAACAGAAATTTAGCATTAGCGTTTGTAAAAATTGGATTAATATAAATCTGTGCATACTTGTATGGTTATTCGTGTATTTTGCTTGTTTTCATTTCGCTGCGTTCACGAAGTTATTCGCTTTGCTCAAAATTTTTCTTTGCTTTGCTTTTCAACATTGAAATGCAATTATAGTTTGAGCAGGACATGTTATTATATACAGAGCCACCAGCAAAAAGCTTTTACCCTAATTTTGGCAGTTGCTAATTAATTTCAGGATAATTGCATAGTAATTTTCTGAGGTAATTTCATTTGTGATATCAAGTAATCACTTGCTTACTGGTTCAATTAAATTTGCAAAATAAATATTATGACTTCACCGACATCCGTTTTTTTTCTTCTGGAGACATCGAAATCTGAATATGTTTTATTAGCAAGAACATGAGTGAAAGAGTTCAGTTAATCATTGCATGGTAAATGGATATGGATTTGATAGTTGGTTTAGTAAAGTAGCTAATTTACTTGAATAACCTCAAGGATATGAAGTCATGAAATTGATGTAGTGATTTAAAATAACACGAAAAGATAGTTACTATCATTAAAAATGGCTATCTATAATCAGCAATATAGTGAAATTATTCTTCTGTTACAACCGGAAAATCACAAAGCACTACATATTTTGTGTCTAGATGTGTCAGTACTGTTGGTGTAGTAACTAATATATTAGTTTGATCTTTGGAAGATTTTGGAAGACAGCCGCCATTGCTCTTTGTATACATCATTTAAAGATATCAGACACCGACAAAATCTGTGTCGATTGATATATTTTGACAACGATATATTTAGACAACGATAACACCTCTGTCTAGTGCTATATTATACCACCTCTGTCGAGTGTTATATTTTGTCAACGATGACACCTCTATCTAGCTATCTATTTTGTCAACGATACCACTGGTATCTAGCGAAATATTTTGACATTTTCACCTCCGTCTAGTGATACATTTTGACAACGATACCACTTTTGCCTAGTGTTATATATATATATATATATATATATATATATATATATATATATATATATATATATATATATATATATATATATATATATATATATTATCCACATCTGACTAGTGATATATTTTGACAAAGATGCTACCTTTGTCAAGTGGTATATTTTGACAAAAATACATCCTCATTCTAACAATTAAAATAGCCATAAATTTATATAATTATAGTACCCCTGTCTTATTATTAATTCATGCTGGAGGCAGAAAAAAAAGTCAGTCAATAAGAGGCGTGCGACATTTTTGTTCGACACATAATAATGCAACTAGGGGCTAAACGATTGATTTTTGCCCAAACAACTTAGCTAAAAGGAACCAAACTTATCGAAAATGTTGGGCATGAAAACTTTTGCATGCCAGATTTATGAATTTGACTAGAACTCTAATGAACAGCAGAAAAACCGCAAATAAAGAACGTTTTTGACAACTTCTCTCCCCCTTCCCTCCCCTCCAGTTCTATTGTGTAAAGTTCATGAGGGCTATTTTGATTTTCATTCAAACCCCATTACAGATTTGATAATAATAACAATGCTAAATAATAATAATAATAATAATAATAATAATAATAATAATAATAATAATAATAATAATAATAATAATAATAATAATAACAATAATAATAACAACAATAACAACAATAACAAAAATGTTCTTCCAACATTTATTTGCACTTGATTGGAAACGTTGAAATGAGTGTGATAGGCAGAGAAAACTTGGACATATTGATTTTCAGTTCCTTGTGACCTCTACTCCGTGCGAGGACGATAAATTTGATTGAAATGCATGCACTCTCGATGCATTGCATAAATTTGTTTGGTGCGTGATTAACAGGAAGGAGCTAAACACTGATCCAATTCGAGAAACATACAAAAGTTTAGTTTCGCTGCTATTTATTGATGCTGATTTGATAAAAATGTCATTAAAAACAAGGCGTTTAGTATGAAAACATGAAAATTAGATATTAGGCGCATTTGCCTAGCAGACGGGAGCGTCGATATAAATTTAAATGTTTATGGGTGGGTAATAATCGTTTCCCCGTGATTATTAATTTTGGTTTTTCTTCTTCTACTCCACCAGTACCTCATTTTGTCAAACATATTTTTTTCTCTTCTGTCTTCCGTGCTTCTTCTCCTAATTTACCCTCCTGCTCTTTTTTTCTTGTTCTCATTTTCTTTTTCTTTAAGCACCTTAACATTGTAGGCTTTGAGTTGTTCCTTTTCTTCATAGTCCTCCTCCTCTTTTTTCCCTTTATGATAAGGTCGCTTAATATGCATTCTCATCTCCCTAAATTAATATATTCCATCTAAACTGAGTGGGGACTATAACAACCTTTTTCCATCCTGACTAGCAGTTCCCCCGCCATCCCCAGATCATCCACTATTTCTGGCAACTTCTGCATTTTCTCTAGATTGTTGCTCATCGTGTTTGTTATTCAATCTTGGCATATCGGATTATAGTCGCGTTTTGTTCTGAGTACTTATGCGACTGCTGATGACCCCAGGCTGGGCCACAGTCCATTTAAGAGGGTGTTTGGCCCTGGTCTGGGCTTTTCAGCAACTTTGACCCGTTACTCTTATAATTTTGACCCATACTATCACCCTCAAACCACAGACCCAGCAACCTAACCG